AAAGACCAAATATCCTTTTAGGGATGTCTGGTCTGATTTGCTCTAGGCAAGAAGGCTGAGCCGTAAAGTGAGGGTAAGAAAAAAAAAAAAAAGGGATGAATGTATATTGTATGAGTATTGCCTCTGCCTCTTTAGTGCATTGCCAAGTGCGGGGTATTAATGCAGAACAGAAAGTGTCACTAGGAACCACAGGAGAACATTTTAACACTGAACATAAAAAGCAGCTGGAGTAACAGAGGAGTGGTGTTCAGTGGATCCCTTATTTTCATCTAATTCAGGCTTTGTGTCTTTCTTATCCTGTTGCTCTTTTTCAGGGCGAGGGTCAGCTCTCCAGCAGCAGTTTCAGCGCTCGCTCAATGTTCATACGGTGTCCGACCCGTGTCACTCCCAGCTCCGCAAAGTCATCCTTGGTTAGAGCCGGGAGGTGAGAGCCTTCGATCTCGTGTTCCTGAAACCCCGCTCTGTGCTCTCCCAAGTTGATGCTCTCGAGCCAGTCTCCAACATCGTACTTGTTCCACAGGTGGAGGGGCTTTTGGTGAAAGGGTCGGAGGGCTAAAAGCGGTGAGCCTAAGCCAGGGGAATGGGAAGGTGACGGAGAGCGAGAGCGAGAACGTGCGCTGGAGCTCCTCATCACAAAGCGCACCTCTTTAGGCTCCTGGGGTAAGCTGAGACTAGAGGACTTGAGGATGGTTTGCGGCGGTGTAGTTGGTGAGGTTGGCAGGCCGAAGCCTGAGAATCGTCCAAGGGGGTCGCCCCGATCAGGTGAGCCTGAGCCGGGGCTGGGCGCGCGTCTGGTGACGGGGTAGCGGCTGCCGGGGCGGATGGTGTATGTGGTTCCATAGCTTCTCTGGGAAAGGGTGTGGAGCTCGCCTAGGCTGCTAAAAAGTCTGGTGGAGACACAGAGTTTTAGAATCGTTAATAACAAATAGTTAAAGACAACTTTGAAGAAAGAGACCAAGCTTTGGGGTTTACAGTGCCTGTCAAAAGTATCCATTCCCCACTATCACTTTTACATATTTGTTACATTAATAACCACAAGGTTCAGCGTATTTCATTGGGATTTTATATCATAGAGTTGTGCTGCACAATATATCATAAATGTATTTGTATTGAAATATCACTGTACACAGTTTGCACACAATGGAGAACTGTCTGGACCACAATAAGGGTACGATGCATTCAGGCACTCTGGGGTCTAGATCTGCTATGAACCCAAAGCACAAAGACATTAACACCTTTTATTTAGTTTTCTTTTTTACTAGCCATTTTATTCATTCACAACATTATTAATGAATGTCATATGTTTTTTTTTTCTTTTTTTTTGGAATATTGTGCAGGTCTATGACAGGCTAACACAAAGTAACACATATGTAAGACGTGTAGGGAAAAATAAAACGTAATTTGATTTTTATTCTTTTAACAAATAAAAATGTGAAGTGTGGAATGCACCTTTATTGGGTCCTCTTTAATCTAGTACCCCTACAAAACTGTGGTGCAACCAATGCTCTCAGAAGTCGTCCAATTAGCAAAGTTTGGCAATGGGTTATTAATTTTAGCACAAACAAAGCTGTTCTGTGAATGCCGACTGAGAGCTACGATATCAAACAAATGCAGGCAGGTTTACAAAAAAAATAAAATAAAAAATCTGAAAAGCATTAACTGGAAAGTCTAAGCATCACTGTATTGTATCATTACATAAACCACAAACTCACATGTTCAGAAACATAAGGCAGTTGTTTAATTAGATTTTTTTTAATGTTTTCTCCTTTGTGTTTAAAAATGCAAACATCTTTTTGAGATATATATATATATATATATATATATATATATATATATATCTGAGAAAAATGAGTAAACTATTGGTGGATTAGATTTAAAGACCTCTTTCTGTCTTCTATACTAAAACCAAAAACAGCTGCGAATTCATATTAATATATCTTTTCTTTGCAATATTGTCTTTTCATCTGAAAGCTATACTTAGATACATATATATTATATTATGCCATATAATAGTAATATATATAATATTCCCTTTGGAAAATCAGAAAATTAATTATGAAAAAAGCCACGAGTGTTGGTTAAACATTCTCCAAATATTATAGATTGCACAGTCTTGGTACCAAGGCAGAGGGGGGTTTTTCCTCCTGTGGAGCTCCGCCTCTGGGCTCAAAAGTCTTCAGTTTAAAAACGATAGCAGGTATTCAGAAGACACACCTTTTCAGAGCTGCTATTTCCATAGCACTGTGTTCATCAGAGTTGATTTCAGTATAGAAATATTTTTGAAAGGCAACTGAGTTTTCTGTTTGGAACGAGAGTCCTTCCTCCTCCTCTCTTACTCAAACTGCCGAAGGCTTTCAGAGGCCTAATACGAGAGGGGAGAGAGGTAGAGAGGGTGCAGTGAGAAAGTGTGGGTGTCATTAAGGAAACAACGCAACTTTTCACAAACCAAATGATCTAATTGGAGCTCCCGTGATTCTTCTTA